TGTTTGGTTCCTTTAATGAATAAAAAACAAACAAATAAAATACAAAATGAAAATAATTAATTAATTAATTAATTAAACGAACAGTTGTCAATGTGCCCAATTTTCGTTTTCGTAAAAATGATGAAGTATTACGAATAACCATCCATTGAACGTGTGATGAAGCTTGATCGAAACCTAGGAAATATTTTTTTTTTAATTATTATTAATTAATCAAAAAATTTCTATAGAAAACTTACGTCCACGAGCCATTTTTTGGGCAATGATTTATGATTTAAAAAAAAAACAATCTAATCTAAAATTATCAATTAATTTTCTTAACTTTCTTGTCGTCTAAAAGAAAATAAATAAAATTTTTTTTCGCTTCTTTTTTGCTTCAATGATTGGTTATTATCGTTAACCATCCTATTGTGTATGTTTGCGTACTTCAGTTTATCTGTAATGCACTAGTGTGTTAAATGTATTATATGTTATTGAAAGGCGTCACTAACATCAGTTTGAGTCATCATTAAATCTTATTTTTGTTCGAAGACACGTAAAAACACATGACTGGTTTTAAAATGTTACATGTTTAAAAAACAGTATTATATTTACAATGTTAAAATTGGAATTAAATGGTGAGCTTTTTTTTTTCTTCAAATAGTTTTTTTTCGTTCTTTACTTTTATTATTTCGTTGATAAATAAATATTTTCGATAGTTAGACTTATATCCACGATATTTCATGGCTATATTTATATTTATCTTCAGTTTACTTCTATTTGTTTTTACAATTGGTTATCATCTTGAAAGTTCAATAAAAATAAATAATTTAAATATAACAAAAATTTCTCATGAACAACGTTATCAACATTATTTATATTTTTCTCGATCGGAACGTTTATTATATCGTGAAAAAGCTCGAGAAATGTTTCAATTTGGATATGATAATTATATGAAATATGCATTTCCACAAGATGAACTTGATCCAATTCATTGTCGAGGACGTGGACCTGATATTGAAAGACCGTATGAAAAAGAAAACAAAAAAACAAAAATTTGTTTGTTTTAAATTTTTTCCTTTTTTTATTTTCATATATTATAGTGAAAATTATAATATAAATGATGTACTTGGAGAATTTTCTTTAACATTAATTGATAGTCTTGATACACTTGCTGTTATGGGAAATGTTTCCGAATTTCAACAAGCTGTTAAACTTGTTATTGATCATGTTCGTTTTGATCGAAATTCAACTATACAAGTATTTGAAGCAACTATTCGGTATGATAAATAAATATTTGATTTTGTTTTTTTTTTGTAATATAGACAAAATTATCTTCGATTTAATTATGATTTTTTATACAAGAATTATTGTCTTTTTTTTTACAACAAGATCTTTTACCATGAACATATGTAAAAATATTGGCTCTTTCAGCTTAAATCTAATTAAACTTATTGAATTAATTAAAACGTAGTTAGCAAATAACTTTCTAACTGTACAAAGGAAAAAGTTCAAAAATTTTAGGATAGATTCTAAGTCGTAGGCTATATCTATGGTGAAGCGTTCAGTAAAGAATGCCTTGGTGAGGATAGCAAAAGTCTAAAACAGTATATCCCTATCGACCTCTAAAGCCGATTTTGGATTGTGTTACTGAATTTTCGATTCAAGGTTAGGTATATACCCAGTGGCGTACGCAGAAATTTTTCAAAGGGAGGGGGGCCCAACTCTGTAAGGAGGGGGCCCGCAGTGGACTTGTAATAAAAGTTATGATACAATTTTTTTCACCCGTACTCCCCCACAGGGAATTTTTCTCCAAGGAGGGGGGGCCCGGGCCCCCTCGGCCCCCCCCTCGGTACGCCACTGTATATACCGAAAAATCAAATATCAGATTTTTGACGTAAAAGTTTGTCCATACATAGGGTAAATGATCCGTCGAATATCCTGCAAATTTCAGCAGACAAGAATACTTTTTTTTATCGAGATATTAAACTTTCAATGAAACTAGATTTTTGTATAATGTCTATGGCAAACGAGTCATTTTTGAAAATTTGAACATTCTTTTCGGTGGAAAATTTTTAGGATATTCTATGAATGATTCAATCTCTATATCAGTAAAATTTCACGTTGAAATTTTGTTTTTTGATTTTCTAGTAAATACCTAAAAATGGATTGAAAATTTAGTAAAATGGTTATAACTTGATTCCAAAAGCCTATGAGGACAAACCTTTTAAAAATTTTTCTAGTTTTACCAAGACCTTCTTGTTGACAGAGTATGAGCTCAAACTGCGGATATCAGTTTAGAGTAGTTTACTCGTCAGTCATATCGCTATCAGCGAATAAACTTCATCTATTGAAAAATTTAAGCATGTTAAGAAAAAAAAATCTTCATTCTGAATCCTCATTATTTGTAAATGAAAACATATATGGTAAAAACTTTTGTTCTTCTTCATATTACATTGCTAATACTAGTTTTGCAATAATAACTTGGTGGAACAAAATGTCTAAAGGCTTAATATTGACGGGTATTTAATGTAACTTAACATACATTTGATATATAAAAATTAGCTAAAACAAAGCTTAGAGATATACAAAATCATGTCGTTAACCCATAAAATTATCAATAGATTTTTTTTCTTTTTGGTTTTCTTTAGTGTACTTGGTGCACTTCTTTCAGCACATTTATTAATTATTGATCCATTACAACCATTTGGCAATTTAACTATAGAAGATTATGATAATGAATTACTTGATCTTGCTCATGATTTAGCATCAAGATTATTACCTGCTTTTGAAAATACTCCACAAGGTTTACCATATCCTCGTGTGAGTAAAATTTATCGAAAAAAATAATTTCAAATGTCATATTTTTTTAGGTAAATTTAATGACTGGTTTGGTTGATGGATCGAGAAATGATACATCCACAGCAGGTGCTGGTTCACTTTCATTAGAATTTAGTATTTTAAGTCGACTTGTTGGAGATCCAGTTTATGAACAAGTTGCACGACGAGCTGTCAATTCATTATGGGATAAACGAAATAATGTTACAGGACTATTAGGTTTGTTTCATATGAAAAACTAGAAAGTGATTCATCTTCTTTTTTTTTGTTAATTGATGAGAGTTCTTAAATTGAAAAATTCACACATAATCTTATATTTAATTATTATACCATCTGTTTCTTTCTTTCGTTTTTTTTTACTAATAGAGATGAGTAAATTTTGTATAACGGCAAGGTCAGATTAGGAATAAAACTTGTCCTATACATCTCTAAAGATTATATATTCATTCTAGAGTTATCAATAAAAACAACATGAATATTTCATAGGACAGATTTATGCTTAAATCAGTCTTATGTTAAACTTTATATTATTGTCTAGATTTTAAATGTTTGTCTATTTCAGGTAGTGTAATCGATGTAAATAGTGGTGAATGGCTTGGTCAATTATCAGGTCTTGGTGCTGGTATTGATTCATTTTTTGAATATCTTCTTAAAGTAATATTATAAAATATATATTTTTTTTATAGTTATTCATTACAAAAAAAATTTCTTTTGATTAGAATTATATTTTATTTGGTGATGAAGCTGATTTACGTATGTTTGATGATGCATATCGAAGTGTAACTCAATATATGCGCCGAGGGTTTGTTAGAATATTTTTTTTTCTTTTTATTCGTTTTCTTTTTTTTTTTTGTTTTGATTTAGTCGAGTTAATTGTATGGATGAAGAAGGTATTCATCCAATATTTGTTAATGTTAATATGCATACAGGACAATTAGCAACAACATGGATTGATGCATTACAAGCATCATTTTCTGCTGTACAAGTTTTACGTGGTGATATTGATGAAGCTATTTGTTTACATGCACTTTATTATTCTATATGGAGAAAATTTGGTGTTTTACCTGAACGTTTTAATTGGCAAATAAAAATGCCTGATGTTTTATTTTATCCATTAAGACCAGAATTTATTGAATCAACTTATTTTTTATATCAAGCAACTAAAAATCCATTTTATTTACATGTTGGAAGAGATATTTTAGATAATTTAAATACTTATACAAAAGTCGAGTATGTTTATATATATTAATGATTATTTCTTTTATTTTTTTCTAAATTAAATTTGAAATAGATGTGGTTTTGCTACTGTACATGATGTTCGTGATAAAACACTTGAAGATCGTATGGAATCATTTTTTCTTAGTGAAACATGTAAATATCTATTTTTAGTAAGTTAATTTATTCAAAATATTCATTTTTTTTTTAATTTAAAAGCCTAATAAATAATTCTATATACGTATATATATATATATTTAGTTATTTGATGAAGACAATTATTTAAATCAACATGGTGCAAATCATTATATATTTACAACAGAAGCACATATCATTCCTTTAATGGCAAAATTAAGAAGAAAAATTTGGGATTTAAATGAAATGACATCTTATGTTGAAAATACAAATGATAAACAAACATATACACATGAACATGAATTAATTAATGTTAATAGAGATCTTATTAAAGTTGAAAAAAATATTATTTCAATTAAGAAAAAACGAGCAAATCAAACAAGTGTAAATAGAATTTCATTTTTATTATAGATTTAAAATAGATAATAGATTATTAATTATATTTTAGTGTCAATCTCGTCCAATATCTCATCGACATCAATTACCACTAAGTGCTAATCTACTCTATCAAGTTGATGAAATGGTTGGCGTTATAACATCTCAACCATAAAATACTCAAACATGATAAGACGTTCATTCAATTGGTGCTCATTTAAATAATTTCAATATTCATATGTTGTGTTTCATGTCTTTCAAATATGTGAACGATTTTTGTTGTTTTTTGTTTTTTTGATGTCAGATATTCTCTTTGTTTTTGTTGTTGTCTTTCAAAAATTTATTTATTATATTATTTGTATTTATTGGGTGCCTATCGAGAGAATGTTAATGTGCTTTGCATATTGTTTTTTGTTTTTTCATTTTCATAGATATTGATAAAAGAAAAACAAAACGTACATATGATTGTTAGTCAAGTATTATTAGGTATAACAGGTGTAATTGCATCACTTTATTCATTTTATGTTAAAAAACAACATGAAAAAAATCCAAAATATAAAGCATTATGTGATTTGGGACCAAATGCAAGTTGTACTCGAGTTTTAACTAGCAAGTAAGATTAATGAATAGATTGAATTTTGATAAAAAAAAAACTTATTTTTAATTAATATATATATATATATATTTATTAAGATATGGTACTGGATTTGGAATTACAGGTATTTTATTTGGTAAAAATAGTAAAATGAATGCATCGAATGGTGTTTTGGGTATGATTTATTATATTTTACAAATTATTTTTGGTAAGAATTAAAGATTTTTATTTAATTAAAATATTTATTTATTTTTCTTTGTAAATTACAAAAGGTTTGATAACAACATCATTATTCAGTAAACTCGCTTTATTTTCATCGATATTAGCTTGTCTCGGTTCACTTTATTTGGCCTTTATTCTTGCATTCATTCTTAAAGATCTATGTCTTCTTTGTATTGCAACTTATATAATCAATGCCGGTCTTCTTTGGTCAAATTATCAAACTGTTTATTGAGGCTATTAGACAAATATTATATTAACTTTTTATTTACTTTTTTTTTTTTTACTAATCAACTTTTTTATTATTTTAATGAATGTGAAAGTTTTAACAAATCTCAATCAAGGACCTTTTACTTAACAGATTATTGTTATTTGTTGGATAAATTTATTCAAGATATACGAAATAAATGTTTGAATAAATTACGTATAAAGAGAATTTATTTTATATAAAAAAAAGAAATATTCAGTGTATATTATAGTATCTAGAATAATTGTAATGATCAATGTTCGATGATAGGTAAAAAACTTGAAATTCAATTCTATTATTCTGAAATATTTTTGCATTATTTCTTAACCGTTTACTCTCTATTAGGGCCATCGTTAGTCCATTCATAGAAAATATCTATTTGGAGTAATAAAGCATCGGATCGGGACGATTACCGAATATTGTGTAGAGCCTTCAATAAGCTACAAAGTCAAAAATAAAACATTAGGGTGTGGATGTTGGTCTTCTTTTCATTTCTATCTGCATTCATATGCACATCCAAACCCGCACATTTCGCTATATCTGTTTTTGCGTGGGTAACTTTTTGGTGCTGAAAGTATTCGTGCTTATAGTTCTTCAATCTATTTTTGATGTATTCATAGTAAATAGCGTGACAAATAATGATTTTTCTAGAGTTATTTGGTTGTTTTCGATATGAACTCAAAAAATAATATGATCTTCATATTAAGAACTTAATTAGAATTAATAGTCAGTCAAAAAGTATTCTACGACCGTTTTTTATATGATTTTTTTATCGATGAAAGATAGAAACCTGTAGATTTCTATTGAGTCTTATTTTTATTAACTGGATTTTTTTATACAATCAAAACAATATTGAAGGTTTGAGAAGAGTTTTTTTGAATTATCAGAGCCCAAAAAACAAAACGTTGACTTTAGAAGATATCCATTAATAAATCATTAATACATATCGATTTGTGAATAATCATTTTTGTAATAATACAATTGTTAATCTATATTTGGTTATTTTATCCTTTCTTGCCCTTGGATAAAGGTGACGGTTCGGAAGGACTATTTGCTTAATAGCATTGATCTTACAGCTCCTAATTATACACAGTAAAATTTTGAGCCAAATCCACCAAGATATTAAATACGTGATGCATTCGTTATTCTTTTTTTATATGGAAAAACATTCTGAAATTTACAACAAAACAAGCATGATAAAATGATTCATATAAATGCATGAACATCACATTCACGTTGTATGCTGTAAATGTGGCTGAACATAATGCTCGACTATCCACTCAACCCGATCGTATACGCACATTGCAACAATTATTTTAATGATAAAGATATAATTGGATTATTGATTAGAAGTTCACAATAAATAGGTTTCGAGTTAATACAAAAATCTATTTCTAAATGTGTCATAGTTCAAAGAAAATCAAATTTTTATAAAATGGTTCCTTTAATAGAAAGTATATAGCAAGAAAACGTTATATGCATATATATCATAGTGAGCATCCTTTCCTCATGTTATACATAAAACTAATCTTAGAAAAATTCTAATTTTCTAATAGGGAATTTAATTATAGTATTTTTTATCCTTTATTAAGTAAGTAAACTCTATCTAATAAGTATTGCGCTGTTTATTTTAATAAAAAGAATATTTTGAATACAAAAAAAGAATTTAAAAGTACATTTTTAATTGAATATAAAAGGTTTTAGAGTAATTGTTTTCATTTGAAAACTTTTGAATGAAATGATATTAATTGTCTTATAATAGAAGATTATCTTCCTGATGATAAGAAAGCCAATAAAACGATTATAGTTCGGGAAAAATAAAGTATAGGGATGAAGTTCTTTACAACTTCTACTAGTCTTATCGAATTCTATTTATGAGCAAAATATCAGCTAAATCAACGATTGATATTTGGAAATCTTTTGTTGTAGGATAAAAAGCTTTTAGTAACATCTTTCATTTTTGATATATTCCAGAATTAAACTGAACTTGCTAGATATGGACAGGATGATCTCATTCATGTCTTACAAGTTGCACAATTTAATTCACATATAATCGAAAATTTTATTTGTTGAAGAATAGGAAACATTAAGGAGAATACTGATGAGATTATTATTGTATGCAGAAAGGAAAAGAAAGATGATTTCATATTTTATTATAAAATCTCAGTTGAATTTTATTATATAAAAAAGTCATAGAGAAGCATATAAAGATACAAAATTAATAAGATATTCTCGAATTAATGACATTATTATCTGTCAATTAAAATATTGTATCTTTCATCGTATCAATGAGCAATTGCTTTATGCATCGTCAAGTTGAACAAATCAATGATGATGCAATAGGAAACCAAGTTAATCTTCGTAATTCTCAAGATTTTCGTTGTTTATATAAGTCTTATCGAAATGATGATTATGATCTATTATTTCATCTTCCGCTATTACTTAGTTATACTGAAATCGAACAGAACAAAATGAAAATACAACTTCACACGCTGGTTGTTATAATAATCATCTTAATTGTATACAATTTGGAATTGTAATATACCTATATATTAGATAAATATGGTTGAACAATTTTTGAAAAACTTAGAAATGAAAATTTAATATCATTATTTACGAGATCTAATAATGAAAATAATTCTTCCTTTACTAATAATATTAGTAAAAATAAATTACATAGAGTAATACAAAAATAGTGGTAGATATATTTTAATTCCTTCTAAGAAGCTTAAAGAAATTTTCTCTCTATACATAGTCTGATAGTAACAACAATACTCTATTTTTTCTATGATATTTGATCATTCTTCAACTAATAATAAAATCTCAATAAGATCTATTTATTTATAATGTGTATGGGTAACATTAGTTTACGTTGTCTTCTTCTCGTCTCTTCTAACGTGTAGCTGTTCATCTATATTAGAATATACAAATAGTCGTAGTGGTGGAACAAAAACAAACTATAGAAAGAAGTAGCTCGTATTTCGTCTTCAACCTTTTGTCGATCTTCATGAAACTATTTAGATCATATTTTAACTATCCTAAGAGAAGGAACTTCATCACCACAGACAAAACATAATTCATCTGAAGAAGCAAAAATTTTTCTTATTCATCTAAAATAGAGATGAACAGTGTCAATGTTTAACCTATTTTTATTTCTTTAACTTTCTTGAGAACATGCTAATAAACTACAGATGCAAACAAGACATGCATCTTTATATATGAATATATGTAGACAGTTAGACATTAAAAGGAACACGAAAAAAATAATAAAGAAAAGAAAAATACATATCGAAGACAATATGAACTAATGTAATCATTACACAGTCTAACCAAATAGATCTTATTGAAATTTTATTATTAGTTGAAGAAAGATCGAATATCATAGAAAAATAGAACATTATTTTTACTATCAGTATGTATTGAGAGAAAGTTTCTTTAAATTTTTTATAAGGAATTTAAAATACTACGATCACAATTTTTAGATTACCCTAAGTAAAACTATTTCAAGAAAGTGATAAATGAGTATCTAATAATAATTTTAATCAAGAATATAGAACAATAAAAGATACAAACAATACTAAACAAATGTTAATTAATTATCGTTCTTACAGCCTTAAAATGATATCAATGACTGCTGAAATGGAAAAACAATCTTATCACGTCATATTTTATCGAATGATTTATATATATACTCAAGTAAAATAGTATTTGATTGGACATGACATTATTGGATTCAAGCTATTATATATATAATGAAATTGCAACTGTATTTGATCAATAACTTTCGTTCTACTTAATTGGTTTGAATGATTTTTTCATGTGTTACTTATTTTGGTAACATGTTCAAAGAAAAGGAAATCTTTTGACAATAATTAAACAGAGGAAAATGGAATATAAACAATCAGTTTGCATAGCATTCAATACTATTTCTAATATATAATTTATTTGAATTTCATTCCTTCCTGATTTTCTTCCTAAATCTCTACATGATTTGACAGACATTTGTATATTTTTGTATAGAGTGACACAAACTTAGTTCTAGCTCTCGTTATAATTGAGCTGATGGCATATAGAAAATATAATAGAACTTGCTGAATATAGATCATTAGAGTTACTTTGTAGAGTGACATTTTGAAAATAAATGATGAAAGTTTCAATCTTTGATTTTTGTACCATTCAGAATAAATTTATATTATCCTGAAAAATGTAGAGTAACGCTTTTTCTGCAGATATTTCTAATTGAATCGATCTGAAAATATTCTTTCTAAATGTAAGATAACTCAGCTGAATGTACTGAACAAATCTGAGTGCATTGCGAGCTGTTTCTAATTACTCATTTGTCATTCAAAGCTAAAAAATGACTTGAGTCTTTTCAATAAGAAAAATTAATTGTATAATTAAACTTAAACGGAAACTAAACTTGACAACATGTATTTCTTTTAATATTTAGTGAAGTGTTAGGAAACTATTATCACTTAAGGCCTCCCCCCCCTCCTCAAAAATCGATCTCAGCCTAGGAACGTTCAAATGGGCTAAAATTTGAAGCATATGTTGGGGCTGAAGTGAGGAGTCTGTGGTAAAATTTTCAGCTCGATATCCCGACGTTTGACAGAGATATGAACCAAAACAAGGGTCAAAAATAGCTCATTTTCGTTCCAAGATTTCTCGATCCGGGTTCTGTCAACATATTTAAATTTTTTGTTTATTTGAAAGAGCATCTCAGGATACAGGGCAGCATAGAGTCCTTTTTTTTAAATTCTTACTTTTTTCGCGGAGAAAGTGGCTCACAAGTTCAATGACTCAAAAAACGCGCCAAAAATGGGTGTCCAGTCACATAAGTGTCTGTCTATATAATAAAAAATAAAGCTTAATTAAAAAAAGGACTCTATATTGCCCTGCATCTCGACGCGCTCTTTCAAACAAAAAAAAAATTTAAATATATTGAAAGGGTCGGGATCGAGAAATCTTGGAACGAAAATCAAAAAATCATAAACTGAGAAAAAACGAAAAACATTTTTCGTTTTTTTAAAAATAAGAATATTTTTCAAGAAGAGATTAATGAAAATCATCGAAAATCTTGGCCAAAAAAGAGATACCAAAGAAAAGCCAATGTCATTTCTGAAAGATCTGAAGACGAGCTATCTTCCCATGCATTTATCTCAATTTCGAAATTTTTGACGAAAATTGACTTTTTTTGAGGGGGAGGGGGGAGGCCTTAACACAATTATAGAGTATAATAAAATATATTACTTAGAAATTATTTAGACCTACTTCCAGTTTTTAGTTTCAATCGTACCAAAACGCTGCAATTCAGTTATATATATTCGATAATCAATTTTCTAAAATGCTTAAAGAAGATAATTTACTATATACTTTATTTAAAATTCAATGTATTAATATAAACAAATCGATACAACAATATCATGTTACATTTATTATTATTATTATTTCTGTATTGATTTAAAATATTTGTAGATTTTTACGAAGATAAAATTTTATTGAATATCTTTGTTTATAATAAGTATTTCAGAAGAATATTAGTACAATCGAAAGATTATTATAATTGTTAGTTTTTCTAATAAAGAAAATTTTAGCAATATTATATTATTTCTCATAATTGGTAGAGATTGAAAAAATTTCTTTCAAGATTTGAAACTGATTCGATTGGTTTTTCATTGATTTCCTAATTCTCATATTATATTTTAGTGATATTAAACAGTAGGAAAAAAAACGGGTTTTGTTCACTGCTCACTTCACATAAATAGCAGAATGATTTAATTCTATAATTTTCAAAAATATGAAATACGATTAAAAAACAAACAAATTTTTCACTTCGATTTGTTTCCTTGGCAACGACTCAGTGTCATTGTTATATTATCTTTGAATCATATCCATATATGTCATGTCAGAGAGATTCACACGAATATTGCAATGACCTTGTATTTGTTTTTTCGTAAACGTGAGTGATTTAGCTATGTTAAATAATATCGATTTTAAACAAAACATGAGGACTCATTACTTCTAATTAGTCATTCATATAGTTATGTGCATTGCCATTACATAGTTCACAATGAAAATTTGATGTCAACATCTGTTTTTTTAATGCTTGAGATATAACATTCAATTGTTCTTGTCTTATAATTTATAATGTGTAATAACAACTAAGTATGACATCGATAAAACAAAGAATATGCAATCGAGGACAATTGAAATTATACCCTTTAGTTTTTTTATTCCTATACGTTTTTATCTATCAACCTACTATATATAGGAAGGAAGCCCAGAACTTGTTGCATCTTTTGGTATATTTACTTTGAATATTAAATACAGTTTAAAATCTAAAAAATGTATTGGAAGAAAAAGGACATTTTTTTTTCTTTTGCAAAACTAGGTGTTCATAGTGTTGTTATATTTTTTTATTTAGTACATATTTCGGCTTAGATAAATGATAAAACCTTGAATCTTTTTTTTCAAAAGATGTGCCGTGAAAAGTGCTACAAAATCTGTATGATTGAATTTCTTTTTACCTGTTTTTATGGTTTTTCTTATACTCGAAATGGACAGCTTCTATAGCAGTGTTACTTCCGATCATACTGAAAATGTTGAAAGACTTTTTTTGTTCTGCATATATCTCGACTTCAGAAAATGATGGAATATTGAATTTGGTTTTAAAAGATGCGTCATCGAAAGCTCTACAAAACTTGTATAGACTAAATCCTATAGCGAATCGGAAAAGTTCTCAGAACATTTTCTATATGATAGGAAGTAATACTGTCACCCATAAGTTGTTCATTTTTAGTATAAAAAAAATTATCAGAACAGGTAAAAAGAAATTCAATCATACAGGTTTTGTAGAACTATTCACGGCACATCTTTTGAAAAAAAATTCAAGGTTTTATCATTTATCTAAGCCGAAATATGTGCTAAATAAAAAAATATAACAACATTATCGGCACCTAGTTTTGCAAAGGAAAGAAAAAATGTTCTTTTCCTCCCAATATACTTTTTAGATTTTAAACTGTATTTAATATTCAAAGTAAATATACCAAAAGATACAACGAGTTCTGGGCTTTCTTCCTATATGTAGTAGGTTGATAGATAAAAACGTATAGGAATAAAAAAACAAAAAAACCAAAGGGCATAGTTTCAATTGTACTTGACTCTATCATTTCTTTTCTTTTGGTTTTTTTTTCTCTTTCACAATGACAAGCATGATATTCCAGAAGCTTCTCCTTTCTATAAGTATATATCTCTAAATGATTTTATTATCCTATATATGTTGATAAATTTTTACATATTCTTTTTATCTGTAATCATTATAATTGAAATATAGATATACCTAGTTTTATTTTTTTTAAATTAGAATAAAATTAATCGATAAATATTTCAAGTAATAGTATTGTTCAATGACATAATTCATGGACTTATTAATCTATATTTAATTATTTTGAAAGCATTGTTTCAATATTAAAATCAACTTTTTAACAAAACTCCTAAAGAAACAATATATTATCGTATTCTATAACAAACTTTATCGTTCTATGGTAGGGGTCAAAACAACACAAGCATCTATTACAAGACTTTAAGGACATTCACATACTAACTGAATTTTCTCTATAGAATATTCTAATATGTCTTGTTCAATATTTTCATATTTTTTTCAGGTTATGTTTCCACTAAATGAATAGACAAAACTTATCAATTTTGTGAATGATTAATTATTATTCATTTAATTTTGTTACAGTCATCGAAAAATATTGTCCTTAAGGTACAAATCATTGACATAGGAAAAATGATTTTTCTACTTTATTTCTTATATAACGAAAAACCAATATTCTTCTACAAATACAAAAAGATAGTTTTGTATAATATATTCGATATATTATTTCTATTATGTAAAAATTCTATAATTGATATTTTCAGATGTTTTTTAAATTATATTTCTCAGAAAGCTCATTTATTAATTTATTTACAAGAAATATGCAGAATCAAACAAATAAATCAAATAATTTTATTATTTTATATACATATTTAGTTTCATAATTGAAAAAAACAATAAAATTGCACTGTATGACATGATTATTATTCAGTACGTTTTGATGTGAAAGAGAGGTGAAAGAACATTTTACTTTCCTACACATTTCTATTGCAAGAGAATAAAAAAAGAGATGTAAGTTAGAAAAGCATAGACGAGAGAAAAAAATGGTTATTTGTCTATCAAATGACTATAAATAATAACATGAAAAGTAAATATGCTTTGATTCATCGAATATGTATGTTTTAAAAATCATTGCATCATAATTATCGAAGTGATATTTACAAAATCCCTTTGGATATATATATATATATATACATATATATATATATATATAATAATAATAGTAAAACGTAAGTAGTCTTATTTATCTAAAAATTGCTTTTAAATACCTGATCATAATGAATAATCAAAAGATAAATGGTTACATATTGATTAAAGACTGTAAGTGAAAATTAGAGCTGATTATTATTATTATTATGTACTTAAAGTAGTCATTGATCTTGTATATTTGACCTATATGCGTGATATCAACAGTACAATTTATAATTAATAAAGCATTACTTGTTTTTTTTATTAAAAGAATTTTTCATATTCAAATTTTTTAAATATTCGATTGATTATAGAAGTTGACGAGTTTTATGCCGTTGCTAAACTTTTGCATTTAAAAAGAAGAGAACTATTTCATTTAATTGAGTTTGATTAAGACAAGTAGTTTAACTTTTCTTCCTTGAATGAGAAATATATTTATTGACATGGAGAAGTTTTTAAGTTAGTTATCATATGCTTATCAAAAGGTAAGAAGGATTCTTATGAGTCATTATTTGTACATGATTTGGTCAAAAGCAAAAGTATTTTATATTATTTAGAAGTGAAATATATCAATGTGTACATCTGATGGCCCAAGTGAAACAAAGAAGAAACCAAATCAAACAAATAATGTTTGTCAAGTGTGTGGAGATGGTGCATCAATAATTAATTATGGAGCTTTATCTTGTTTATCATGTCGAACATTTTTTCGTCGAAATGGTTTTCCTAATAAAGTTTGAATATCTATATAAAAATTAGATTTTTCTGAAAATATTCTATATTTTACAGCAAGCTCTTGGATGTCGTTATGATGGTGATTGTGAAGTTAATATGTTAACAAGAAAAGTTTGCAAAGCGTGTCGTCTTGCAAAATGTCTTTCTGTTGGCATGAATCCAGATTTAATTCGTAAAGAAGATTTAACTAGGGAAAAACGGAAATTGAGCAAATCAAAAAGTCAAGAACTTCCTGTGATGGTACGTACAAACCTGAGAATGTACTTATAACATACTGAAATATAAAAATGAAACATTTACGAATAAATGTAAAAATTTAATGTTTAGTAAATGTATGATAATTTCTCGATCGAATGGGTATATTAATTTCTATCATTGAATTCTTTTTGAAAGGAATTGAAATAGATGATCAGTTCTTTTTTTACGCAAATGAGCTAGAACAGAGTAGCCAGAAGCTTACAAGAAAAGTTTCGCAACTGATTAATTGCTTTTGACTTCAAAACTATATACATTGTGTAGATCCTAATGAACTATGAATACTATGAAAAGAGTTCGAGTTCTTAACTTATTACGGTGAAGATCTTGCATTTTTGCAGTATTTTTTAAGTCAATGCCGTGATAGCACGAGAAAAATGATTTTTGAATTTCGACTTGAAACTTTCCATAAAAACAAAACTTAATGAGAATAGTTTATTGTGAAAGTTTCAGATCATTTCGTTGTTTCTCTCCTAAGATACAACTATAATATAAGCTTGTGTTTTACATTGCTCATATATATTAGTGTTCTATAATCCGATTGAGTACTTGGCATCCAGCTCAGTCTGCGGCATGAATCCAAGTATGATATCATATCTGGATCCGACCTGGTAATTAATAAGGTCTCGATGTCTCAGAATATTTTAACTATTATTTTTATAAAATCATAGAAATGAAAAGCGATATTGTTTTATTAAGAGAATTCATTTTTAATGAAAATACATTTACAGATGATGATGAATCATATGACGAAGTAACTGAGTACATAGCGAGAAAAATGGATTATCAAAAGGGTAAACATGAGTTATCGTGATGGAAAAATCATTCATGTATGTGTCCGTAATTATGACGTTTGGCACCAACACTGCATTCCATTTCAGCGTTATCAGTAACAAGCAAACGTATACTTAGCAAAATTAATCTAATTTTAGAAGCAGAAAGACATCACATAAATCCTGAATCACTTGTCTTTTATGTAGAATTTGAGATAATTTCTTGTTTCGTTGTTGTTTATAGAAGAAACTAAATAGTATACTTAGAGCATATAAAAATTAGTGGTGGAAGTACTTTAATTCATTATAAAAAGCTTAAAGTAAACTTCTTCTTTATATGAACTCATAGGAAAAAAACACGCTCTATTTAACTGTACTACTATATCATTCTCCAACTAATATCATAATAAAAAAATTTCAATAAGACCTATTTGTTTATCGTGTGTGATAATTACAGTAGTTCGTAGTATCTTCGATGCGCATTCTCTTCTTGCTTTTCTTTAAAGTTTGTTTTTTATCGCCTCGTCTAGTACCTAACCGTCTAGACATATATATATATATATATGGGGATAGTCAATCTACTCGGATACCCCAGTTTGCTTTCTTTCTATTATCAGTTAATAACCTAACCATATTCGGGTCAAATTATCACTCTCATCGTTAAACTACTAAATTTAAAATATTAGCTGCTGATCGCTGTCTTATACGAAATTATTTCGTTTCTGAAATTGTGTCCTATTGTTTTTTAAAGGACGGAATAATTTCGTATAAGACAGTGATCAGCAGCTAATATTTTAAATTTAGTAGTTTAACGATGAGAGTAATAATTTGACCCGAATATGGTTTGGTATTAACTGATAATAGAAAGAAAGCAAATTGAGGTACCCAGCCAGACTGACCATCCACATATATATATAAAGACGCATGTCTTGTCTATTTTGTTTGCATCTGTAGTTTATTAATGTGTTCTTAAAAAAGTTGAAGAAATAAAGTCGGATCAAACCTTGACGCTGTTCATTTCTGTTTTTGATAAATAAAGAAAATGTTTGTTTCTACATTAAAGTATCCACTGCACTTATCATTCAAGCACAAGAGTAGTGCTGAGTTTAGAGAATCTATGGAGGCCACAGGAAAGTCATAATGGCGAACCAATGGGCTTCAACTTCGGTAAAATATACATGAGTTATTTATGATGAAATATGTTCTTTTTGTGTAGTGTATCGTCTGAGGAAATAAAGCGTGACAAAAAATGACAGTTGACTAAATTTTCTTGTTAGTTTGATGAAACTCAAAATGATTGGATGAAACTTTTAGAATAAAATCAATTTAATTTTTCTGACTTCAAATATTTTTGGTATAGTTTCTGTTGAAAGACAATTCTGAAGATATGAATAAAGTTCTATTGTAGATGGCACTAGTTTTGAAGATATTTCGAAAATTTCTTAATATCAGAAATCAATCCGTTTTTTATTACAATCAGAAAACATGGATTGATTTTTTGGGAAAATTTCATCCAATTATTTTGAGTTTCATCGAACTGTCACGACGAAATGTAGTCAACTCAATGAATCATTGCACTGTGGCTATAGACTAGTAGTAACGAATCTCCCTTTCTCTTAGGACAATTGACAGATGATCTAAATTGTTTCATGAAGGTCAACGAGATGTTGAAGACAAAGCACGATCTCCTTTTTTCTCTATTTCATTTTTATTTTACCGCCAGTACTTTTTTTATATTCTAATATATATATATTAGTTGAAGAATGATATAGTAGTGCAGAAAAGTAGAGCATGGTTTTTACTGTCAGTTCATATAGAGAAGAAGGTTTTTTTTATAAGTACTTAAAGTACCTCCATCACAAATTTCGGTGTGTCCTAAGTAAAATAAAAATTTGAAAACCGAACCGTGATTATGAAAGTATCTATCGGATGTCAATTAGCTTCGGTTGCGAAAAATCATATCCGTGAATGATACCAATATACACCAACAGATTTGATGTTCTGATTCCAGGACAGGAACAAATCAAAAGATCTGAAACATTCACAATAAACTAGTCTCGTTAAGGTCTCTCGCTGTACATAGTTTCAAGTCGAAATTTAAAAATGAGTTTTCCTTATATTCCTGAAATTTTCAGGTATTTATAACTCATTAGAATTTACATGATGCACATAGTCGAGAGACTTTCCTTATTAGTATTAGGATAAAATTTGATGTTCAGTAGCTCAGCTCATGTGAAAAAAAATAATCAGTCAATCGAGCTCTCATAAAAAAAACTGGTTCATTAAATTGGGAACTGTCACACGTCTAATGTTTAGTAATGTACAGGAATCTGTTCGCGATTCATGAAGTCATTTAGAATTTGTCTCGTTCTTAGTTTTTATAAGTAAAATTAAAACAATCAGCTGAATTTTATCTAGCTCGCCAAACTTATCTTCAGTTCAATAAAAAACGGTAACAATCGATCAATTGTAATACTTAATTGAAAATTCAGTTAAATCAAAAGATAATTACACATTATGGCAGTACTTTCTATTCAACAAAGTTCGGTTTGACTATTCACTAAATTATCATTTTCGTAAGATTTTACTTGCATATAATTTTATTTCGCTGTTTTTATCTCAAATTTTCTTTCATCATGAATGTGTTACCTCAATTAAGTAATTAAAAGTTTTTTAAGATTCCCACATTTTTCATAGTACATAAATTTGCTTTTCTTTCAATCGAGCAGTTATTAATAGATGTTAGAAAATAGACAACAACTGTAAGTTTAGTACTCATTGAGAGATTTACAAGTGAGATTACGAAAATCGGATGTAATGAAAAATAAAGTCACTGCAGGAATCTACTCACATCATTGTCATTTTCTATCACATTGGATTTGTTACACGAAATGCTCTATATGCAGTGGTTTAATGTCGAAATTCGAAGAAAGGAAATGTACAAATGGTATAGTCTAGTAGAAACTACTTTTTTAAAATTGTGATGAGAAAATAAATTCTTTAAAAAATAGATTATCGAAAGAGATTCATGATTGTCTTACTTCTTCTATATATAGTTAGCCATATGATCTTAGATAATAACTTCAAGATCCTTCTCTTCGATCAAGTAGTTTCTAAACAATCACATAGACTATTTAGGCAATCACAATAAATAATAATCTAATATTTTGTGATACATAATATGTCCTTAGTCATACTAGTTTTCATTTTGAAGACTTATACAAAACGAGATTTGTTCATTTCGATATATTATTCTCAGAATGAATCTTAATTTAAAATAAAATCATCTTTTTTTATGTTTTATTCTTGTCAAAATATCATTAACAATTTCATTTCATTTAGACTATATCACAACAATCTGCATTAGATGGACCAACTGATGGAAATTTATATCTTAAGGCTTCAGATTGGACTATAATATCGAATATTGTACATGCTTTTGATGCATTTAGTCCTGTATCTGAAGTTCGTCGTATGATCGAAAATTTCAATACATTATCATCATCATCAACATCAAATGTACAATATGATGTATCTCAATCACTTTATTTAATGTCATCATTTTATAATTCATTACAATCATTTATATGTTCAACACCTGATTTTCAAATACTTACATTGGATGAACAACGTTCATTATTTCAACGTAATATGCTTGGTTTATTATGTGTTGGTGGAATGTATTTAATGCGTGAATCAGGAATATTTGATAAACCAGAAAATGAATTAGTAATTTTACCATTATATGGTACAGAAGTAACTCAACAAGCTAAACGGATTTGTCAACAACTTAATTTTGATCCAATACTTTTAAAAGTTTTGTTTGTTGCTCTTGCTTTTTCTTCCAATTGTTATATGATACATAATCGTGGAAATATTTCTAAAGATAGTTTATTATTAGGTACATTTCGTTTATTAGGAAGTCAAAATGTTTATGTTGAACTTGTATGGAAATATTTAATGCATACATATGGTTATGATGGTTCAGTACTAACATTTTCCAAACTTATCAAACGACTTCTTGATACACTAAAATTTTCAATTGATATGTATAAAAATAATAGATTTCATCAAACTTTTATTGATGGTATAATACAACAAAATGAAACATCTTCAATTGTTGGTGAAAAAGCCATTGTACCATTATGGGGCAAAAAATCATAATTACTATGTAGTTTTTCTGTTTTTTCTATTGTTAGAATAGTTCTTACTTTGTTATGATATGTCAAATATATTAAAGTTCGATTTTTGTTAATGTATATATATATATCAATTCTCTCAAACAAAAAGTGTATTGAAATAATTAAATAAAAGAAACTATAAAAGATGTTCAACTTAAATAAAATTTTTTAACATGAATCTTAAAGAGAAATAATATTAAACAAAATAGGAAATAATTGCTTTAAAAGAATAGAGAAAAATAATTTTAACTTTTTCATTTGGGAAATTTAGCTCTGAAGTTCTTAATATTGATAACTAAATAATCTTTTTTTTTTTTTTTTTGTTTTTATTTCATTAATAAAATCAATCATTAGACGTCACTTTATTTAGTGTATTAATAAGAAAAATAAAATGTTTCTTAATTTTTATAGATGTCAAACCTAGAAGATTCTTACAAAATAGATACTTCGAAATATCTATAAAAAAGTAATAAAACACAAATGTAGATTTTTTAAGGTTTGAAGAGTTATTATTAGATATAGACAAGATAAATCGAAGTTCAACAGTTTTGTAATTTATATAATAATGTTACGTTCGTGATGTTCGTGTACTACGGTAATATGATAATGAAAATTACAAGATGCTCGAAAGATAACTTCTAAAATTTCAAATATGAGTAGATGATTCAAATATTAATACAAAATATAGGAACAATTTCAAGTATTCAAATTTCTTTTTACATTATTTTTCTATGAAACATAAACTGAGATGAGTATTAAAGTATAAGATCAGATTCTTTAATTCTTTTCTTCATAGATTACGATAGACATAATCTCTATAATGAAATCTACTGTATTTCTTTTTCAAACTACTAAAGAGAAGTTATAATTTTATATGCAAACCAAAAATCGATCTAATTTTTTCTGTTGAATGTACCAGAGTATAGAATTAACCTCTTGTGAAGGAATTTACATACAGTAAGGTGCGAGGGCGTGGGTGCATGAGAATGGGTAAAGAAAAGATTCATACTCATATCCAGATCTTGATAGTGAAAAGCTGATTTTTATCAAAAGTAAACGTTATAGTCGAAATCAGCATAGAAAACTACACTAGAATACATTATTTAATCTTGAAATTTTACTCGTAAGGGAACACAGGATAAAATTTTAGCGGTAAATAATCGAGCAAGAGTGCAATAATTCCGAATGTTAGATCTATCTTTGGATAAAAGTCAACTTTTCATGATCAAGGTCTGGAAATGATCTTTTTTTTAATGCTATTTTCTATGAAAGTAACTCTTCATCTTTGAAAGTACCGCGTTTTTTGCTTATACTAAAAATTTCGAACGTCTCGTATAATAATTTTATATCTTCATACCACCAGCTAGAACAAAAAAAAATATTAATCGGCCAAGAAAATACAATCAATGGAAAATATGCCAGTATCTTCAAACATATCTTATGAATGATAGGAAAACGACGAGTTTTAATTAAAAGCAATTGGTTTTTCATATGGAATAATATTGATAAATACATCCAAATTTATGAACTCTATCATTGTTGAAAACATAAACTGCAAACAAATAATTTTATGAATTTTGACGCAAATTATTTTTAAAAATGTTAAAGCATTGATTTTTTTTCCTGAAAGTAGAGAATATAAAATACATGATAGACTGAACATCTCACGGACGGCTTGACCAATCGAACTATAACTTTAATTGGATATACGTAAACATGTTATACTTAAAATAAAATTTTTTTTACATGAATCGATTCAACGATTTTTGCATTCTATGGATTTCGCTTCTAGAAAAACAAAATCACGACTTTAGATAGCTTCGAAATTTCAATATCTTTTGAAATGATTTGTGACAAAATTTATAAAGTATTTGTCTTTATCATATATCTTTAAGTGAACAAAATCTATCATCTTCGATCTCATAAGAAAAACATTCAATTGTTGTGACATCAGTTAAGTCTAAAATTTCATCAACATTTAAGATCAACGTTCACATCATACGAAAATCTTACTCAACATTTCGAGAATTTACAATGAAAATAGTTTCGAATTATCTCACATTACAAGTATACACTGTTTATGGAATAGTTCAGATATGAAAATAGAAATTCGACAATGAATCAGTGGAAATTGTTTTTTGTCTAAATTATAATCGATGCTGAATACCAGTAAATCACAAAATATCATTCTTTGAATCAGCAAACGAATCGTCCACAATTGTACAATTAACTTCAGTTTGACTTATCACTTGCCAGATATCGTATATTGCTTTCAAATCTTTGTCATCTTGAAACCTAGCAAATAAATCATAAGAAAGAGCTTCTCAATTATAAACTAAAACTTTCTTCAAACGCGAATCTCGAAATAACTAAAAAAGAAGAAGAAGAACGTTTCCGAGTATTCAATGGTCATGTACAAATTTTTTTTTCTCAAGACTTTAATGAATATTTTGATATGAGTCAAGATTGCTGAAATTGAGCAAGAAGAAGATTTGATGTTTTGTACAAATTGATCTTTCTTGAGAGAATCATACATGACTACATGTAAAGAACATTAATGTATTCATACAACAGATCTGATATGATTTTTTTCAGAAAAAAAAGTCTAGATTTCAGTGAGAAATACAATGAGAAAGATTAAATATGTACTATCTAAAAGATATTTCATATTTTCTATGATGTTGAACATCAGTATATGTATTTTATTGATTACGCAAGGTTTCTTAAATCATATTTAGATTTGTCTCAAAACATGATTCTTCACAGCCCTGAATGATAGTCGTTAAACTTTTACTTACTCAGCTGTAATGAAAAATTTGGATTGATTTGTTTCGTCAGACACACGATTTTGCATCTTAGTGGCACCAAGTTGTATTAACGCATTATTGATTTGTGCCACCATATCTACACTAGAAGGTATAGAGAGTTCAACATAAGACCGTACTGAGTACCTTGCGAATTCAATGTGAATAATAATTGCTTCGATTTCAAAGAACATGGTATTTCAATAATTTCGGCATCATAAAATATAGGTTCATTCTAAAAAAAAAAGAAAAGGATTTCATATGTATAAATTCTATTTTGCAAATTTACCATAGCTGTTCTTGATATCGATTGAGCATTATGATCGATACTCATTTTAGGATCCAAAGGTAAAAATGTATTTTCGTCGTAATTGAATTCAGAATCACCAATTAGTAGATCGAGAAAATTTTCGACACGTTCAAATAGATTATTGAATTTCTCGTATGGTACTTTGATTAGATTGCATAATTTCGATGACATTGTCGTCCAAAATGATTTATTTTCAGATACTGTTCGAAGCCATGCAAACATAAAATCTCGTTCAAGACATTTAGCAATACCAAAAATAAGTTCATTGACGCCCGATGGTGGTTTTGTAACACCGAAATCTTCATCAACATGCTGTGTACTATTAACCATTGTAACGAGAGCAACTCGATCGTAATAGATAATACCATCTTCTTTACTTGACTTGATTTGTGGATGAACAGTATTCAATAATTTACAAAATTCATTTACAATATTTTGTCGATTACGACCAGCCCACATATTTGTACAGACAAGTGCACAGAAAATATTTTTCTGATGACATTCAGAGATCATCCAAGTAACATGATCTAATACAGCAAATGAGCCAGGTGATGCACAATAAATCATACATAACGGATGAGTTTCTTCGATTAATGATGCCATATAACTACGAACATCATTCTCATTCCAAGATTCAATACCTGGTGTATCCCAAAAATTGGTTTCATGAGTTATGTGACCAACGACAGTTCGAGCTGAATATTTTTGGATATTTTTTGTAGAAGAATTTAAACTTGTGTTGGACTTTGAAAGTTCTTTTCGACAGATTGCATTGATAAGACAACTCTTACCAACACGAGGTGAACCACAAATAAGAATGTTCGATATATTGTAATTTTCTCCCATAAGTATTTATTGTCTAGAAACTAATCATAAGCATAATACAATAAATTATTCATAGAAGAAAAAAAGTAATCAAAAAGATATTTTATATTTTTCCTACTCTATGACTGTGGCTTCTCTTCATGCATGTATTCACATCTGTATCACCTCAAGTTTTACAATGTACATAAATCTGGAAATTGGTTTATGATAGAAAGAAAAAGTAAAATAGTCTGAACTCTTAATTAAAGTTAATATGATTAATCAGTTTTGTTTTTCATGATGTTTAACTTCATGAAACAAATATGTTGTAGCGAATAATTTTTAAACGATATGAAAGTAGCATAATTCATACATTAAGAAAAATAAAATAAGAATCAAACCGTTGAAACAGATGAATATAGTTCGTTGTAATTTTATTATTTTTTAATAATTGCTTTTATAATCAATGGAATTAGAAATATTGCAATATCTTTGCCCTCTTTTCGAAGAAATTCTTCTACAGGAGGTCGACATATATTGAATATTTCTATCATTTTTTCAGACATTGTCGACCAGAATGATTCATTTTCAGCAATAGTATAACACCAAGCAGCAAGTTTCTCATCTTTTAACGATGTCGTAATGGCAAAAATAAGTTCATTAATACCTTCGACGCCTTTTCGAACTCCAAGATCTATATCTTCGTAAATAATACTATTAACTGATGTGCACAAAGCAATATTTCCATAATATTTTATATTACTTTCATCACGTGTCATAGTATGATAACGAGAAAGAAGCGAATGAAAATCATTCAATACATGATTACGTTGTTGACTTCCTCCACTGTATTTGTTTGTACAAACAAGAGCACAAAAAATATTTGATTGAATACATGTATCGACAAGCCATTGTAATTGATCGAGTCGAGCAAATGAACCTGGTGATGCACAATAAATCATACAGAGTGGAGTACTTTCAAGCATAATTTTTGTAAAATGCTTTTGAACATTATCTTTAGTCCAAGATTCAATACCCGGTGTGTCCCAAATCGTAATAGAATAT